CCCCAAAACCCCAAAACCCCAAAACCCCAAAACCCCAAAATTTAATATACTTATTGATAATATTAAAATTTTTCATATTTGAAAAATGATAACCACTTCTAATAGTACGTTTGATGAAGAACCAGACACTATCTCAAGCTTTGAGGAGCAAAAGCAGCCTGAAACCTCTATAGAGGAGGCTAAGTATCCTGGAGATATGTCCTATGACGAATATCTTTCTCATCTTGGCATCTGCCAAGAAGGCCTCCAACTTAGAAAGCATTCAAAATGGAGTGAGAATCCTCAACAAATTCATGAAGTTTTTGAAGACTGTGGAATTACAATTTCAAGTAGATTTGACTCAGGTAATCTATACAAAGCAGAGAAAGTGAAAGATGACTGTTTTGATCTTTATATCTCAGCAGATGGCAAACCCTACACAAGTGAATTATCATACCTTTGATGGTTCTATTTCAGTGTCACTGGTGCAGAAGCTTCTACTGTGCTAACATTTACTATTAGAAATATGAAAAACCAAACGAAACTTTGCACTGATGGAATGAAACCATTTTTCAGGACAAAATCTGAAGATGGCTCTGTTACTCCTTGGAAAAGAATTCCTTCAAAGCTAGATTTTAATTATGAGGAAGAAGAAGATAAGTTTACTGTTGAATGGACTTTCCTTACCTCCAAATCTCCCAGTGATGTGACCTATTTTGCCTATATGATCCCATATTCTTTTAAAGAGATCACTGAAAAGTTGGATCAACTTGAAGAGAAGATGTCTGAAAGAGAAAATATCTATTTTCACAGAGAATGACTGACTTATTCACTAGAAGGCAGAAAACAAGAGATGGTAACAGTCTCTTCAAAAGAAAGAATTGATATAAACGAGGATAGAGAGCCTCTGATTGAACATCTTTTTCCTGAGCATCAAGGAGATATGACTAAAAGGCCGCTAAAATTTACGGATAAGAAGATTATTTTCATAAGCTCAAGAGTTCATCCTGGAGAAACAGGTGCTTCGCATATGTTCAATGGATTCTTAGATTTATTGATGGATAAAGAAAATCCACACTCAGCAAGTTTGCTTAATAACTTTGTATTCAAGATAGTTCCTGCTCTAAATCCAGATGGAATTTATAGAGGATATTACAGACTTGATACTCTTGGGCAGAATTTGAACCGTGAATATCTCGAACCAGATCCTCTAGTCTGCCCAACTACACATTCAGTTAAAAGTATTTTGAAACAAATTTCTGATACTGGAAACTTGTTTATGTATGTTGATTTTCATGCTCATGCTTCAAAGAAAGGAGTCTTCTGCTTTGGAAATGCTCTTAAAGGTGATGACCAAGTTGAAAATGTCCTTTTCGCTCAGTTGATGTCGCTGAATTGTTTAAATTTTGATATGACTGAATGCAATTTCTCTGATAAAATTATGAAGAAATTGGATAAGAAGGGGCAATCAAGAGAAGGTACCGGAAGAGTTGCAATTTATAAAGATACAGGCTGTAAGCACTGATACACTTTGGAATGTAATTTCTACACTGGAAAAAGGCTATCAATAATCCCACCAAAGTTCAACAAAGAACTTGCACAAAAAGAGCCTGAGTCTGATGCATCTAATCCTACTTCTAGTTTATACAAGAAATGAATGTGTCCACCCTATGGAATAGAGATCCTTGAAGATGTCGGGGTTGCATTTGCCATGTCCATTCTTGACTTAATAGACGATAATCCAATTTCAAGACTTCCTCTCAGTAGATTCAGAGACATTGATGGAGTACGAGAAAACGTTTCCAGCACTCTCAAGAAGAAAAAGGCTGGCAGAAAGAGATTTGTTCGTAAAAAGAAGGCATCAATGAAGAAAGCCCCCATGAAAGTGAAGATCACTAAGAAGTCTAAAAGTGCTGGAGCTGGTGCAGAAGAAGGTATTGAGCCTATCTATTTTCCTCATAACTCTTAATCCATTAGAACTTGCCTTCAGTTCTAGCTGTACTAACTCTAACATAGAATCGAAGGATTCCTCTACTTTTGAGGATAAGGAAAATGAGCCGTTGTCTGAACTTGAAGAAGAAGGTAAAATAAAGTCTTTTGGGTTGGAATATTGGCACATTTAGGGATTAAGGCGTTAGAGAGATTGACAATAGTTTGTTTCCATTGTGTTTTGGACCAGAAGGTTTAGTAGATAGATTTGAGGTTTATAGAGAGGAAATCATAGGAGATAGAGCTGTACTTACTTAATCATTATAAAATCAAGAGAGTTTGGGTTAGAAAGTTGATATTTAATGGGGTATAGATCCTGAGGAGCTTTCAACAGAAGCTAGGATTACCTTTAAGGTAACCATAGAAAAGAAAAATGAAAAAGAAAATCTAAGTGACCCAGAGGTAATGGGAGGTGTTGAAAATTCTTCATAATTCTGAATCTCCAAGAATTGTTTGGAAATGATTATTTCTAAATTTGAAAGCTCAATCTTAATTGATCGAAGTGGGGTTTTGGGGTTTTGGGGTTTTGGGG